TTTTTGTGTATGGTGTGAGGTAGTGGTCAAGCTTCATTCTTTTGCATGTAGCGACCCAGTTTTCCCAGCACCATTTATTGAACAAACTTTCTTTGCTCCAATGCATAGTCTTTGCTCAAAAAGGAGAGTTTCTAAGGCCACAAGTGGCCAGCTGTCTCACCCCAAGGAGTGTCTGCAGGGTCCAGTAGTCCTGAACAAAGGCTACTCATGCAAGATGGCACCATCCTGTCAATGAGGGCCTAGAGCTGGTGGCACATTGGCAAGCAGTGGTCCATGGACTCACACAGGTGGGGCCACTGAGGTGACACCACAGAAACCCAGAGCAACAGTCTGAATGCCAGAGGGACAGCACTAGATGCTGGACTGGAAAGCAATAGATATCACCACCACCGGGAGGCAGTGCCCTACAATCAGAAGCAGTGGACAATTCCCAGAGTATCAGTCACCTGTCACCTATCAACAGGTCTGGCCACTAGTGCCAGTCACCACCGGTCATCAGGAAGTGGTAGACACACCAGTGAGCTTTTGGTATTGACCAATAACCAACAGTTCTTTGATTCATCAAGCTGAGGTTAATGTGTGCTCCTTGCGAGTGATGTCAGGAGCAAGACCTGCCCGTTCGTTCTATGGCTCCCATAACCTAGTCCTCTTCTTGTCCCAGGCAGTTCCTTGTCTTAAATGCCTGTTGGTTCGTACAAGTGAGGATCTATGATGTGCTTGGCACCATGCTAGGTGCTGCAGACACATAAATGAGCAAAACTAGATGAAGCTTAGGGTATAACTGAACCAGTGAGGGCACAGTTACATATAGCATGCTCCCAAGAAGGAAAAGGATGTTGTGTGTAGGAGGACATACCAGGAGCATTGTCTGTACTGGGCACCCGTAGAAAGCTCCTTTAGGATGTGAGCTGTGTAGGACATGTGGGAATTTGACAAGGGCAGAGGAGGAAGGCTCCAGACCAAGGGGTAGTTACGGAAGCCCGATGGTAGCAAGAAGCATGGACTGTTTGAAGTTCTAGAAGGGGTCATCGTGTGGAGGGCCATCACAGAGTGGCTTGAGGCTAGGCTGAGAGCTTGGAAGGGGCTTAGTCACACAGGGTCCTGACAACCAGATGACGGAGTCTGGCCTGGTCAGGGGCAGTGGGAGGCATTGGTTTTTAAAGGTCACCCCAGCTGCTTTGTGGAGAACAGATTGGAGAAGGGTAAGGACAAATACATAGATGAAATGTCAACTAATAATATCTGCTTAGAGAAGCGGTCTATTTAGAAAACTCCACATTTTGCAACCACCATAGCATTATCTCATGGAAGCTAGACAAGAGGATCTTTAAATCTGCCCCACTCATTACTTACAAAAACAGGAATATGTACCTTCACCACAGAGCTAGATCTCCCTCTCAAAGAGTGGTCAAACAGCATCAGCAAGAATGAGTCAGGCTGCTGTGTGTACACTTGATATGTTATGCACTGAGAAGGACCCGTGCCAGTCATGCAGGACTGCTGCCCAGAATGTGCTACTGAGTCTCTAAGGGAGAATCAGAAAAATCTGCAAGACAACTGGCCTCTACTCTAAACAAACATCATGGTCTTGAACAACAAAGAAAAAGCTGGGAACTATTCCAGATTGAAGGAGAGAGGCTTTGAAGATGGAGGAGAGGGCCATGAGCCGAGAAATGTAACACTTCTGGAAACTGGAAAAGACAGGAAGTGATTCTTCCCCAGAGCCTCCAGAAGGGTCTCAGCCCCACTGACACCTCAGTTTTAGGGCTTGACCTCTAGAACCTAAGATAATAAATTTCTGTTAAGTCAGGAAATTTGTGGCCATATATCATAAAAGGGTAGGGGAAATGGATATGGGGGGAGCATCCAGAATGCAGAACTGAGGCTAAGTTGCATTACTACTGTCTTCATCTTATATGATGGTCTTTTTTTTTTTAAATAGAGGCATGTTTTATTTATTTATTTGTTTGTTTTGTTTATACATGCACTGAGTACAGTCAGAAGTGCGGGAGAGTGAGAGAATTCACCAGAGCCAGAGCGGGGAGCAGAGCAGGCAGAAGGACCGAAGTACACTGCTGAGGGGAGCAGCAGGCGGCAAGAAAGGTCTACACGCCATGTGGGACCCTCCTTCAGTGGCTGGGGAGCAGCCAGGGATCGAACCGGTGCCGCAGAGGCCGCAGGCAGCTTCGCAACCGAGTGCTCAATGGCTGCGCCACCGGGGAGGCCCTATGATGGTCTTTTGGACTCATCCTATAATAGTAGTTTTGGATACTGATTCAGCCATCCAATAACTAAACTATTCTCCTGCCTTTTTCTTCATACAATTTCACAAACTATCTTAACAAATGCTTTGTCCCAAATATCTGTTGCTTTCCCTTGCCTGTCCAGAATCTATGCCCCTTCTCCTAACATAAGCATCTCAGTTTTGGGTACCTCCTACTTTTTCTATTTTCCACTCAAATAGCTGGGTTGGGCTGATCCCCAGATATGGCCAATCCAGTTATCTAAATAACCTAGCCTCAGAGATTGGTTCAAGGGGATAAGCATATGGGTGATATTGGTCCATCCTGGGACTTTTGCTGGAAATAGTGCAGGAGATAATGCTTTTTTTCCACTGCTAACTTCAAATCATTTTATAAAGAGCACCTGATCTGAGAATGAAATCAGCTCAGAGAGAAGCAGTGAGTAGAAAAGCAAAACTGATTTCTGATACCATTTACATTCTGGAACCTCCCGAGCTTTTCACCCCCAGAGCTTTTCAGTGATGTGAGCCAGTATAGTCCTTCTTTAAAAACAAACAACAAAAAAACCATTTAAATTGAGTTATGTCACTATAATCGAGAGAATCCTGGTAAGTACATCTTCTGGGTCCAGATACACTATTTTTACCATAGTTGTTTAATTTGTTCTACACATTTCACAACAGAAATAAGGCTAGCTTAGTATGATTTGGTTTGTTATTGGGGCTTCCTCCTCTGAGGGGTCACTAATAATTTTTTGTGAGCAAACTGTCCTGAGTTTTCTCAGGCCCTGTGTCAAGTTCATTGGTTAATGCTTTGCAGAACTTACTTTCTTCTTCTTTTTCAAGAATGGTCATGGCCTCTGCCTTTCTTCAACTTCTGGCAAGGTCAGAAAACCTATAATGAGAGAGAAAGAGAGGGCACTATGACTCTCTTTAGAAGAATATTTCCCCCAAAGAAAATCTGACCCTGGATGTGCTTAGATTTTTCAATATTCCTGAGTAGCTGACATCACCAGACTTAGGTCAGAGCATAAGTTAATGTCTTGTGCCAAGTTCACTCCCAGGACTGGGGGTGGACCTCCTTTAGCCACAGGTACAATCCTTCTTTGTTCCCATACTATCTGCAAGATGGGGCTCATATTCTGCTGGACACAGGGCAGAGCCTTACAGGGATCAAGGGCATGCCCACCTATCTCTAGTGCCCAACGTGGAAATGATAGTTAACCTTATACCTAGTTCACAACAAGCTTAAAACCCCTGGAGATCCAGTTTCTCTGACATGACTACACCAAGCAGGTCAGGCAAGTCTGGAATGGACCAGAAGCAGCTATGGCACTGCAGACCGCATAACTTGTGAAACTCCAGGTCCCAGCTTCTGCCTCCACCTTATTCCCTTAAAGTGTCTGACCAAGTCTTAACTTCACCAGGGCCTCTTCACCAGGAACAGCAGCTCCACACTTGACACACAGGGTAAACCTGCTCATCAGTCCCTATTGACATCTTTTCTGCTTGGTGGCAGGACAGCAGCTCCTCCTGTATTTACTCCTAGGACTTCAGCCAACACCCAGCATTCTGAAATGGACATTCAGCCCTATTTCAGATGCCACTGGATTTACTAAAAGAGGAGGGGACTTTATTCTTTCATACCAGCAGCCGCTAGAAGGAGCACTGTAGCTCTGCAATGTAGCTGGAAATGTCTTTCAGAGAATTTGAGGTCTCAAGGCCCACACTTGGGAAGGAGATTCTGAATTTCGCTAGGCACTGAAGCCAAACTGGACATAATCCCAACATTACTGAGAGGGGGTGTCAGTTTACATTTCTATACTTCCTTTCCCTAGAACTAAAAAAAGGTGACATTCTTATTTTTACCTTTATTTTTTAAGCGAAGAGATGTGCGAGAAACCAGTGGTCTGAAGGTCGTGTGCACAGAGTTTGCTCAGAAGACCCGCCTACAACTTTTGGAGCAGCTGAGGTGGACTCTACCCGCCTGGAAGATGCACGCTTACAAAAATAAAGGGGCTTCACGAAGCCCTTCCGCGCACCCTGCCTGGCTTATTTTACAAGTAGGTTGGTCAGTGTCACGACTTCGCCCAAACTCCTGGCTTTAAAGATGGGGAGACTGGGCCTCCCCGGTGGCACAGCGGTTGAGCGCTGGCTTGCAAAGCTGCCCGCAGCCTCTGCAGCGCAGGTTCGATCCCCGGCTGCTCCCCGGCCTCCGGAGGAGGGTCCCGCATGGCGCGCAGACCTCTCCTGCCTCCCACTGCTCCCCTCAGAAGTGTACTTCGGTCCTTCTGCCTGCTCTGCTCCCCGCTCTGGCTCTGGTGAATTCTCTCACCCTCCCGCGCTTCTGACTGTACTCAGTACTTGTATAAATAAATAAATAAATCTTAAAAAAAGAAAAAACAACTATTAAAAAAATAAAGATGGGGAGACTAAGGCCCACGCAACGCCAGCGTCACCAAATCGCCCAACCAGCCGCGGACACCACGGCCCACCCCTCTCCCGGCTCCGGGAGCGCAGCAAGTTCGGGGCCGGCCCCGCGTCGCCGGCTGCGGGACACCCGGGCGCACCCGCCGCGTCGCCGTGCGACGCGCTCTCGGGCGCAGGGCCCCAGCGCGGGCCCGCCCAGTCACGTGACACCCCCCCCCCCGCGCGGCCTCGCACCTGCGCAGACAGGGCCGGGGGCGGGGCGAGGCGCTGACTGACAGCCGGTGGCCAGCCCCCCGCGAGGACCGGGCTCTGGGACTGGCACCGTGGCCGCCCAGCCAAGCCATCCCGCTCGGCTCGCTCGGGTTCAGCCCGCCGGCCGGCGCCTGCCGCGGTGAGAGGGGCTGCCGCCCCGCGCGGAAGGGAGGGCGTGCCGGGTTCTGCGCGGGGCGGCGGGCGGAGGAAGGGGCGGTGGGATGGGGGGTCGCGGCCCGGAGCCTCGGGGGTGCTGCAGGGCGCGCGCGTGCTGGCGGGGGCGCGAGGCGGGAGTGCGGGGCCTGGGGGTCGCGGCGGGGCGTCCTCCCGGGGTCAGCTGGACTCGCCGAGGGGCTTTGGGATGGAGCCGGTTCCTGGGTCTGGGGGTGAGGGGAGCAGAGGTCCCCAATTTCTGGAAGGGCATGCTGGGGAGGGGCGCCGGGCGCCGGGGTGGGGAGATTATGCCAGTCGTGCTTGTGTGTTGGGTGCTAAGTTTGCTGCCTCGCTGCTCCTGAGTGGCCTACATGCAATGTTTGGGGCGCGGGGGAGCGGGAGAAGAGGCGCCTGGGGTGGGGGTGCCGCCCTGGCAGCTCTGCCTGTGCCTTTCCCGGACGCCCCCTGCTCACGTCTCGAGGTTCGCAGAGCTGCCCGCCATACTAGGCGGTGTTGGAAGCCTGGCAGCTGGTGGGGGGCAGGGACCGGACAGGATGTAGTCTTCCTGGAGCTGGGCGCGTTTTCCCCTTGTAGGGATTTCTGCTGCCCTAGGGGGCAGGTGGATAGGATTGGGGAGAGGGGGCTTTGTAGTGGGCCCTGGCCAGCTCCTCTAACTCGACTTAGGTGCTGGGCATGGGTGCCAACCTGCAGAATGAGCAAGAGCTGGGAGCTGGCACAGGTGAGCTGCCCTGACGTGGCGGTTCACTGGTGAGTCAGTGTTCCCCGCAAGCTGACAGCTGTCAGGGGCCAGTATGCTTTCACCCGCCTGCCATTGAGACCATGGTCACCCAAAGCTGATGTTTCCGATTCCTTTGATTAGAGGCACCCCCTCCTTCCAGCTCAATCAGGGCAGCTGAAATGCTTAACACTGAATTAAGCAAGGGGGAAAAACTTGGATGGCATTAGGCATGAACACTCCTTCCTGAATTTCTGTTTGGAAGTATCTGCCCTCCCCATTATTCAGGCTCTCCCTTTGCTGTCACTGGTTTTTATTTCTACTTATTCAGAAATAGGCTGCTTACGCATTTGAAGCACAGGGTGACAGGCTATTGAGATCCGCTCACAATGAAAAAGTTGACTCATGAAATTTTCTTTTTCCATTAAAGAAATGGCGGTGACTGGGGACTCACACTGACACTCTTAGTGAGCACACATCGTCTGCAGCTTCTAGTGTGGTTCTGGAATAACTGCCCTTGTTTGTTTGCTTGTTTGTTTGTTTGTTTGTTTGTTTTGCAGCATTGCTCTTTTTTGGGGGTGTTGTCAGTTACTGTAAAGATATTTTGTGTTATTTGAGTGTAACAACTGAAGACAATGAAAACCTATTCAGCCAGTGGAGTCCCTCACAAACCTTAGATCATCCTCACAGATCTAAGTGTGGTTCTCTCTCCAAGAAGCTCATATTGGTTTTTTGAGGTGAACTGCTTGATGGTCAAGCTCAAATGGCTGTGAGGGGACTTCTTTTAGGATTGTCTTTAGGAAAGGTTTAGGATGGAATGAATCATCTCTCCCTTCCCTCCTTTCTCTCCCCCACCTTCAGCCTTCTTCCTCAGAAAAGAAAATAATTGGATTAAAAGAAACAGCAAAACCTGGCTGGGAAGATTTTTTTTTAAGCCCTGAAAAATCAGATGCACCAGCAATGGGAAAGAAATGCAAAGGGAGGGAGGAGTAAAAATCTTTCTGCCAGTTTTTTACAGAGGGCATTCAGAAGAGGAATCTTAATTGATCTCTCCACTCGCCTTGCAATGATAGGTGGTGTCATTCTCACCTGGCAAATGAGGGTACTGAGGCTCTGTAAACTGCTCCAGGATCCGTTGCTACTCTAGTTCCACCGGAACCAGATGCAGTGCCGTCCTCCCTATGGACCGCGAGCTGGGAAGGAGCCTGTGAGGTGTTAGGTGCTGCCTCAGCCAGCCCGGCTCTCCCGCATTCTTTGCAGCATCTGGGCTGCTCACTCAGTCAACCCAGCCCGCCTTCACCACTTCCCCTGCCCCAAGCTTGAGAATGTTCTGCATCTACTCAGATTTGTTTATGTCTTTGCGAAATCTAGTAGGAAATATGATTGCAGGGAGTGGCTTTTGCTCAAGTGCTCCTCTTTCCAAATTGTCTAGGTGTCTTCAGCCATGTGGAGCAAGAGAGGTCAAGGCAATTCTTGGGACAGTTGCTGTAATTGTATTCTTTGTCTTCCAGCTGGAAGAGAGCTACCTTGGTTGTGAAACCTGAGAAGCTGACCTAGTAGTTTTGTTTATTTTATCCAGTTTCTTATACGTGGCATTGACTGAGTTGTGGTAACATTTTTCCTCCTCAAACAGGGCACAGTTATTAATAGGGAAGTGCAAGCATTAATACTATCACAAAAGGGACTACAGGGGGAGGTTGTCAGAGATAGGTTCCAGCCAGTCAAAGTATGAAACAGAATTAAATGTCAAGACAATCTTGAGGCACATAAATAGATGGCAGAGCTGGAGTAAGGGGGTGGCAGGTCTGTCTCCTCCATGCTTAGACAATTATTTTCTTTTCTGGGCTTCCCATTTAATGAAGAACGTAGAAAGAAATCAAGTATATTAATTCATAATTGCTATTGTGGCACATGCACTGGAGCTGTTAAGCCTGAAAATCGTGGCAGCCATCCTTACAGAAGGTTTGGGTTGTCATTCATTAAACTTGTTCTGTAAAGACCCATCATTCCAAGAACCAAAGGAGCAAATTAGAATGAAAAAGACCTCAGTTTTAATAACTTTATGTGCCAGGGTGATCTTTTAAAAACTGTCCATCAGATAGTGTCTGGTGGCTCTCCAATACTCTTGAGGTCTAATGTACCTTCGTCTGCTGGGCAGGCTGACTGATCTTGCTTGTTTCTCCTGCTTCATTAACTACCACTCTCTCAATCATGTTTGTTCTGCCTGCCCTCTGTGCTTTCAGCACACCTGCCACAGGGACTTTGCACATGCTATTTCTCCTGCCAGGTTTCCTATGGCTCCACATCATTAGGTCACTGCTGCAATAGCATATCCTTAGCAAGACCTTCTCTAATTATCACAAAAATTCCTTTTGGCCCACTCATTTTATCCATTGTGTTATTTTCTTTCTTTTTTTTAAATTCTTTTTTTTTTAAAGATTTATTTATTTATTTATACAAGCACTGGGTACAGTCAGAAGTGCGGGAGGGTGAGAGAATTCACCAGAGCCAGAGAGGGGAACAGAACGGGCAGACTGATGAAATACACTGCTGAGGGGAGCAGCAGGCGTGGCAGGAGAGGTCTGCGTGCCATGTGGGACCCTTGCCGGCAGCTGGGGATCGAATCGGCAACGCAGAGGCTGCAGGCAGCTTTGCAGCCCAGCGCTCAACCACTGCGCCACCAGGGGAGACCCTGTGTTATTTTCTTCATAACAATCTCAGACATGATTTTGAGAATTTTTGTTTGTTCCCCATGTCAACAGTGCCTCCACCAGTGCCTGCTGTATACCAGGTGTTCAATAAATAGTTATTAAATGATTTTTATGACAGTCAGACCTCTCCAGAGATGGTATTGCTTACTGCATCTGTGTATCTTAAATTAGTTGTCTTTTACTAGACACAGTCAAACATAGGCTGGCTAACCAACTATTGAGCAAGAGAATTCAAGCATTAGGGAGAGGGTAAATCTGGGTAACTTTGTATTCATTTCCTACTATTGCTGTAACAAGTAACAAAGGGGCAGGGGTTGGAAACAATAGACATTGATTCTCTCACAGTTCTGGCATGTGGGATGTTGGGTCCTTCTGGGGGCTCCTCTCTCCCAGACCCCAGTGGTTGCCAGCAATCCCTGGTGGTTTGCTTCGAGTTCTCATCTCCACCTCTGTCGTCATGTGGCTGCCTTCTCCTGGGTGTCTTCATGTTAGCTTCCTGCTGTGTACCTCTGTTTCTTCTCTTCTTAAATAAGAACACAAAACAAATGGATTTAGAGCCCACCCTATTTCATTATGACTTTAAATCTGCAAAGGCCCTATTTCCAAATAAGGTCAGGTTCACAGGTTCTGGGGGTTCTGGCTTCAAAAGAGCTTTTTAGGGGACACAATTCAACACATCAAGATTCAGTGGCCTTTTAAAGGGAGACTTGGCAGGAGGCGCTGGGTTATTTTTAGGGATAATGACGTGGATTTGGCTATTTGTACATAAAGCATCCCTGGTCTTCACAGCTGGCAAGGTGAGTGGTGATGTATGTGTCACAGGTGAAGAGAGTGAGGCCGTGAGCAGCTGAGCTGCTTGCCCTGGGCTGTGCAGGACCCGTAAGTCTCCTGCACCACCCCCCCTCCGGTGTGAAGCCATGCCTGCTGGTCATGGGGTCTCACAGGCTGCGCCGGCTCAGGTCAGAGGTGCAGGATTTCTCCCCAAGCTCTACAGGGTCCCAGAGGGGTTCCTTGCATCCGTGGTGTTTCACTTCACCCCATCCCTGTCCTTGTGGCTTAATGTGGGGGATGGCTCATTGTCAGGAAGCACGGCCCGATGGGAAGCCACCAGGTTAGAAGGAGCATCCTCCTTGCTGAACATCTCCATGGACTCTGAGGGCCTTTTAGCCCAGTTTTGAGAGTTTGGGGTTTCAGTCTCTCAGATTTTGGCCCAGAACATATTGCTGATGTTCTACCAATGAGCCATCCAGGAGTTCCTAGTGCAGCTTTTCTCATTTTGGGGATTGGGGGAAAGAGCAGGGTGGGTGACCAGCAAGATGTTTTTTGACTAGGCGATATGTGTAGATAGTGCAAATGTCAACAATGTAGAAAGATCCAGTGAAATGCAGTTTTTGTCTCTTTGCCTGGAGGCACCCAGCACTACCAGTGTCTTGTGTCTCCTTCCAGAGATCCAATGTCCTTCACTGTCCCTGTGTGCCACCCCATGCCCTGTGGCCAGGCTTCAGCCCCCTCTCCATCCTTCCTCCTGCCTTTTCAGAA